GGGCACAGCTCAAGCCAGATAAACTCCTCATGTAAAAAATGTTAAGCCTGACAGGTTACTGCACATGAAAATGAAATCCCTTGCATTCTATTTATACTGCCATCTAGTGGTTACACTAACATGTATTCCTATTTTTAAGGAAAGCTGGCAGCCTAATTTTAAGACACAAATTTTGATCACTCATTGCTGTTTCTCCCCCACAAACATACAGCATCTGGGTAAGAAATTGATGAGAAATGTCTTACTCACCCTATACAACAGCAACTGAAGATACTTTGTCATCTTCCACCACTCCCATCCAGCTGCTGAATAGTAGACAGTGTGTGTCTACAAGTAATCTTGTCTGAATGCCTTTTCCTGACATTTATGAAAAAGTACTGAATTTACAGATTTGGCTAACCATACTAGGTTGCACTTTTTCTCAAGTGTAATGTCTGTACTTACCTAATACTTGTTTCTTGTATGGGAACGAACTATCTGAAATATGTAAACTTTTAGTTTGCTCTATTTGAATGTTAAATAAAATTTTAAGGAGAAATATTTTTCACTATACAAGTATGTAATAAAGTTTGAGTTAGTCCAATATCCTTTTCATTATGCGACAGTCCCTCAACTAGTGAACAAAAAAAAACCACACATCACTGATTCATTCTTCCTGAATCTTTACTGCTCCATGGGATTCAGTTTTGTCCCTGAAAACCAGCACCAAGCATGTTTAAAAAAACAGGTTACCTATTTTAGTTGCATTTTTTAACAGATCCTGCCAAATCTAAAGCAATCTTGAACACGCAGAAGGGATATGTTCCAAATGTGATTGATTTATTTCACTTTGATGCGAAACCAAAGCTTTCACTACTGCACAGAGACCAATTTCATAAGAGGTCATCAGGTGTGGACATGCAGGATGTGATATGCTAGCTGGGAGAGCTGGGATTTTTTCCTTTAAGGAAATACTATGCTGTCTTAAGGAATAAATTTAAAATAACACTGAGGAACTGAAATGTGGCACAACCTTTACAACTTCCATGCATGCCTTCAAGTATCTCCTTTTATGAGTTTACACCCTATAGCTGTGGGGTGGGGGAAGAGTTACAATTCTTGGGAAGAATAAAAAAAGTTCACACTTTTGAAATTTCACAGAAGAATTTTAAGGCCAAAACATGTTGGGTTATTTTTCTCCCCTCCCCTTCATCTCCAGGAACAGAGCTGCTGTTCCACTTAAAACTGCATTAAGCCTCCAGCTCAAAGCCCAGCCCAACCTTGTGACCACCAGCACTGAAGTTCTTGCCATCAACCAAACCTGAGAGTGTCAGCTTCACACCTGCAAAAAACAAAACAAACTTTGATGCTAACACTCAAATAAAATGCAGTCAGTCACTCATGCTATACCACAAATAAGGAATTTGGGTATATAGTAACAGCTAATAATACAGCTGTGCTAGAGTACCTCAATCTTTATCTGCAGTTTGACTTGGGCAGAGACTTAAATGAAATGAGGAGTCTCATTTTAGGCACCACCTGTATACACAAGTATCTCAAACACCCACAAAGCAAAGTGACTCATGTAGGTCTGCAAACATGAAAGAATAATTCCATTAATTCCTTTTCTGCAGAAAAGGACCTAGGGGTCACAGTGGACGAGAAGCTGGATATGAGTCAACTGTGCTCTTGTTGCCAAGAAGGCTAACGGCATTTTGGGCTGTATAAGTAGGGGCACTGCCAGCAGATCGAGGAACGTGATCGTTCCCCTTTATTCGACATTGGTGAGGCCTCATCTGGAATACTGTGTCCAGTTTTGGGCCCCACACTACAAGAAGGATGTGGAAAAATTGGAAAGAGTCCAGGGGAGGGCAACAAAAATGATTAGGGGTCTGGAGCACATGACTTATGAGGATAGGCTGAGGGAACTGGGATTGTTTAGTCTCCAGAAGAGAAGAATGAGGGGGGATTTGATAGCAGCCTTCAACTACCTAAAGGGGGGTTCCAAAGAGGATGGAGCTCGGCTGTTCTCAGTGGTGGCAGATGACAGAACAAGGAGCAATGGTCTCAAGTTGCAGTGGGGGAGGTCCAGGTTGGATATTAGGAAACACTATTTCACTAGGAGGGTTGAATGCGTGACCTAGGGAGGTGGTGGAGTCTCCTTCCTTGGAGGTTTTTAAGGCCCAGTTTGACAAAGCCCTGGCTAGGATGATTTAGTTGGGGATTGGTCCTGCTTTGAGCAGGGGGTTGGACTAGATGACCTCCTGAGGTCCCTTCCAACCCTGATATTCTATGATTAAGACTGCTAATCCTTGATTACTTAATGGCTGCCACCTCCATAGCTACCCATTCTGTTGAATAGCTCAAGTTAAAAGATTCTTCTTTTCTATTAAACCCAGTAGGAAGTGATTCCCTTTAGTATTTTTGTCAGGGCTTACGTACCAGGTCGAAGGGTCTGAGTGTAACCAATTCCAATCAGACTGGCATTATTCACTTTAGCCTAAAGGTAGAGACAGAATAAAAGCGCATGTCAAAACACCATCACTCCTACTTTTATAGGCACGCAGGCACAATAACTTTTCCACTGGAATCAGCAGCAGTCGCAGAGAAATCTACAAGCATCAGAAAGTAGACATATTAACCAGCAATGGAAAAGAGCTCTCAAAAATATATGCCCCTGCAAATGCAGAGTAGTTTGCTCTATAAAGAGTTCTGTTTAAAATTAGATCAATGGGGTTTGTGCCAGTTTCTTTGAGCGATTATTCTGTTTCATAGGCTAGCAGCAAACAAAAAAACACAATTTCCCCCTCAAATTTAGCCCATTGCTCCTACCTATGATCCCT